TCATACCCTGCATCCTTAGTAAAGGGAAGCTTGGAAAGTATGTAACAGACAAAGGAAGGTAACTCTGGACTAGCTTAGAATTCAAACCCGGAGCCTACATGTTTAGTTACCCAAGTCTCACGTACCTCTGCACTATATGCCTTTGTGGTTGAATGTTTATTCCAGGCAGTCAGGCAGATGGTATATACGATTTATCATATCCTCAATTCATTGTAGAGGAAAGTTTGGAAAGTACACAAGGGGCAGAAGAAAGGAACTCCGACCTCATAAGGTATATGTACTCTTCGACAGCAGGAGGAGCTGATTCGATTTAGCCAAAAGATCTCAAATAATTACGTATATCATACACAGAACGAGTTTTACGTTTACTTTCGATATCTCTTTCATAAGCCTCGATAAATATCGATTTTGAGACTAAGTCCTTTAAGCATAGCTCGAAGATTTTAAGACTTGGCATCTAGGAAGAACCTAGAGTATATGCTAATTAAGAATAATTCACTTTTTGAAGGTTTGAAAAACACTCAGAGGTGGAGCCTTGCTCTTTGGTTTTGTCAAATGGAAGCAAGTTGAGTTAGGAGAAGTAAGTTAAGAACGCAAGACGCAGGAAGAAGCACAGTCATAAAGTCGCCCTCTTCACTTGAATAGAGTATTTTGTATTCGCATTTGGATTTCGCAGTTGTCTGCGGTTTGAGCGACGTTTTCTCGTATCGTTCTTTTCGCTGCTTCTCTTCCGCCCTCTCAACTTCTCGCGCTCACTTCTTGCTTCTCGCTTCTCTCTCTCACTCTCTCTCTCTCTCTTTCTCTCTCTCTCTCTCTTTCTCTCTCTCTCTCTCTTTGTGTTGTATTGCCGTCATGCCATTTGGTATCTTCCCAACTTTGTTAAATCAGCCATGAAAACGGATTGTCGTCTGTATTTCACTCGGTCTCCCTCTCTCCCTCGTTCTCTCTCTATCTCTCTCCCTCTCTGTAGCTGTCTGCTCATTTGACTTGGCTGAATGACTGCCTGCTGGACGGACAGCGGGACGTGACCTGCTGCCATGTCTAAAAGCTTTCAATAATAATGGCAGAGAGCCTGCCACAGCCCGAGCTGCTGCTGCTGCTTATTAACATTGCCCCCCTCCTCCTGTATGTGTGTGTGTGTGTGTGTGTGTGTCCTGTGCGTCTTGGGGATTATGTCTCGACACAGTAACCCCCCTCCCTCCCATCCAGCTCACCCCCCCTGCAGCTGCTTGTGCGCGTCTCGTCTCACGACTTTTCCGCCTCGTCTCGGCGTTAACTTCAACACCTGTCCAGCTCCAGCTCCAGCTCCAGCCGCAGCTGCCTTGTCTGTCACATGCACAAACCTACAAACCCCTCCCCCCCCCCCCCCCCCCCCCCCCCCCCCCTTACCCCCTTTGAACTCCACCAACTTTCAGCCTCCCCCCAAGGGCGACCCGCTAGACACATGCTAATGGTAAATGGTTGTGTTGGCGACAGTCAGAGACAGAGAAACAACTTCACATACACCTACACACACGCCCACACACACACGCACACACACACACACACACATTCACAGTCTGTTGTGCTTTTGTCTTAGGCTGCGTTTTGTGTTAATATTTACATAATTGTGGTTAAAAGTAGCTTTTAAGATGTTTTTAACTGTCAAATGGTAAAAAGCATTTCACACACACACACACACGCACACCTAGACACCTGGCCACACCTCCCCGCCCCGCGCCTAGATCCATTTGGCCCTGTGCTTTGCCTTTGCCATTTGCCAGTTTTGTGCTTTTGTTTCTATTTTGTGCTGCATTTAATGGCAACAACAACAACAACAACAACAACAACAACAACAACAACAACAACAACAACAACAACAACAACAACAACAACAACAACAACAACAACAACAACAACAACAACTGACAAATGTGTTTGATGGCATTTTATTGCCAACCCCCCAAATGCCACCCATACCCCGCACCCTAAAGCCCCGCCCACATTCAGCCCCTTTTATGGTTTGACATTTTAATAAAGATGCGTGGGCTTTGCTGAAGGGATGTGATGGGAGAGGGTGGGGGGGGGGGAGGGGGGGTGTCTGTTGGTAACAGCAAAAATAGCAACAATTTCAGGCATTTAGTTAGTTTTCGCCTGCACACACACACACACACACACACACACACACACACACACACACACACACACGCACACACACAGAGCTTGGCGAATTGTTGAAAAATATTTTTGGCTAACCTCAAAACATTTCATTTTGGAATTTTTTATGCGATATACCACTTGCGAATGCATGCCAAACAAGGGTATATTAGTGCTTAGCAAACTTTAAATATACCCTATATACAAATTTCAATAATTTTTGTTATTTTGCTCGAGCTCAAAAGCCCATTCATCATTCAGCTAGTTGGCAAATAGTTGAAACATGTCGGATAGGAACTTATTTTGATCTATTTTGGGGCATATTTGATACGAGGGTATCTTTTAGCTGTGCATATTTTATAAACAGACAGAAACAGGCACAGCCCCAAGCCCTAGCTCTCGTCAAAGGAAAGTTAAAGAAAGAACTGCTTGCAAAGATCATAATTTGCAGCTTGGCGATAATTTGAGCCAATCGATAAATATCGATATCGGCTTTTCGATTCGAAATGTTGCATGAACTTCTTCTTCAATACAAAAGCATGTTTTGCTATTTCTTCAGCCGAAAATTAAATAACTTATCAATTGTGTGGTCTAGTTGTAAGTGCACAAATAAACAGAAAAGTTATTCAAAAACGCAATGTAATTTATATAATTTTTTTTTTTTGCAGGGTATCTGCCAGTCGTGCTGCGAGTTGTTGTGCTTGAATTTGTTGTGCATTGGCTGTTTTGTGAATTTGTTGCAACAATTTTGTCGGGCTTCAAAAATATTGAGCTGCAAAAGTTGTTGCCACTAGCTAGTCCACAACCCCACCCTCCCTCCCAACGCCCCTCCACCACTCCCCTCTCTCTACGCCCCCGTCACCCTATAGCCCAGTCCCCTTCTGTGGCTTGCAGCCCGCGGCAGCCCCCTTCTGGCTGAGGCTTGTTTAGTTAGCTCTTGAGGTTCGGCTCGTGCTACCAAAACGTTTACTGAGTGTGTGTGTGTGTGTGTGTGTGTGTGTGTGTGTGTGCGTGTGTGTGTGTGTGCAGCTCTTTATGTTGCAACAAGAGCTGCTGCTGCTGTTGCTGCTGTAGCCGCAGCCGCAAAAACTTTAACTTTCAGCAACTTGTTTCGTCCATTCGAACGCCTCCGCCCTCCGTTGCCACGCCCCCGCGACCTGGCCCCTAATGCCTTTTGCATATAGATTGACAAGACGCCGGGCAGCGGGGCAGGGTAGCGGGGTTTTGAGGTTACGGGCAAGAAACCGCATAAGGCAAAATTGTGGCAAGCCAAAAGCTCAAAGAGCGCAAACGCTTCAATGATAACAAGTAAAAGGTTCTAGTCGGGAGCTCCCGACTAGGGGATACCCTGAACCCTCTTCTTCCAACATCAAATGCATATATATATTCTATTTTAGAAGCTATATGTCAAGTTTGGTGACTCTAGCTCTTATTATTTACCAAAATTGCCCAAAAAACAGGATATCGATATCGATATTTATCGATTGCTTGGAAACGGAGCAAGTTATCGATTATCGGAAACAAACTCGATCTGCGCAGGAACTACGAGCATCTACATATAAAATGTTAAGACTCTAGCTCTTATAGGTTCTGAGATCCTTGGACGGACTGACGGACAGACGGACATGGCTAGATCGACTCAGCTATTGATGCTGATCAAGAACATATATACTTTATGGAGTCGGAGATGCTTCCTTCTGCCTGTTACATACATTTGCATTTTGAACAAATACAATATACCCTTTTTACCCATTTTCAATGGGTTCAGGGTATAAAAAAACTAGACTTTGCTTGTTGAGGGGCAAGTGATGAGGAGGGCACGGTGGGGAGGGCAAGAAATATTCAAGTGGCAGTTGAGCAAAGGACATGATATCGAGGATAAACGGACACCTGATAACTTGTTGGGCATTTGCCTAAATGGGCTGGTTTAATTGCCAGTGCGAAATGAAGTGAAAATCTCCCTCTGATATGACATTGGAATAATAACCAAACAAGTAGGAATGTCCGACTAGGGAATACCCTGCACCTGCCTCGCACAAAGGTTTTATCTCCAGACTAGGAGATACCCTAAACCTTCTGTGTCCAAAGCTTTAAATTAGCGCAGAGGGAAATCAACAAGGGCTTTAGTCGGGAATGCCCGACTAGGGAATACCCTGCACCTGGCTCTCACAATGGCTTAAGCTAGCATTGATAGAACTATCGAAGAAAAAGTGCTTTAGTCGGGAGTGTCTGACTAGGGAATACCCTGCACCTGCCTCTCACAAAGGCTTGAGCTGGCATTGATAGAAGTATACAAGTCGCCTAGACTAGGGAATACCCTAGACACTCGTTGACCTTACTATTAATAACCATAAATTTAACAAAAATAAATAATTCCCTTTGCTGGTGTCGAACTTGGAACTATCTTAAGCAAATATAACAATTCACCAAGGCCTTATACTACCATGGCCTTATACTACCAAGACAGACGGACGGGTGGACAGACGGGTGGACAGACGGAAGGACATGGCTAGTTCGACTCGCCTTTGCTGCTGATCAAGAATATATATGGACTTTATGGGATCGGAGTTGCTTTCTTCTGCCTGTTACATACATTTGCACAGATACTTTATATACTTTTAACCCATTTTTATTTGTTTCAGTTTATAATTTAGTACATTTCTTGCCGTGGTTGAACCGTCGACTTTACGCTTGCTGGTTCGACGCTCCAAGTTCCTAAGAAATAGCTCAATTTTCTAGCTATTTATTCATTCTTAATGGTAGTATTCGCTAGAGAGATGATTAGTTTCCTCACATAGCTACAAATTCTTTTTGAATCAGCTCTTAGATTAATCCAAATCAAGTTGCCTTACAGCTAGTTGTCCAAATACAAATTGAGAGTCAAACAATTCCAACCCCTGCCTAGACTGTCAAATTGTAAAGCTGGCAGCTAGCAAAGCAAGTCAATTAAGAGCCGAGGAACCAGCGAAAGCCAATACAGAGAGAAAGAGAGACAGAGAGAGAGAGAGACATTGAGAGAGAGCGAGATAAACGATGGATTTCATGCCGAGGCTCTCCTGGCTGCTGTTGATTTTTACGCTCTTTCTGCTGCTGTTCGGTAAGAAGGTTTTCCAGGAATTGAGCTAACCCCCCCTTCTGATTTCTCATCCCAACCAAGCAGCGCTGATCGGGGGCAAGGAGGAGGGCCAGACGTCGGAGTTGACTCGCCACAATCGTGACGGGCCAGGTAAGTGGGCGATCCTGCCGAGCAAACCTTGCAACTTCCTCAATTCCCATTCAGCCTTCAAGTCTCACGTGAGCAAGCGGCAAGGCGCTGTCTTGGGCGACGAGAATGCGGCAGCCCTGGACGATGATGGCGACGACGTGGAGTGGGATGCGGAGCAGAAGCATCACATCAGCATTCAGACGACCAATGTGGATGAGGAGGAGCGCAAGGAGCGGGAGAAGGATCGCGAGGTCAAGCAGGCGCTCATGCAGATGATGAAGCTCACCGAGAATAAAGTTGGTGAGTGACCCAACCCCACCCCCCTCTGAACCTAGTTCCACCTACACCCATGGCAACTGAGCAACTGTTCCACAGCAAACAGACATCAGGAACGTTTCGATAATGTGCCCGGCCTGGACTTTAGGCGCGAATTCGCCAGCGACGAGGCCAATCCCTACATCTAATCGGAACGCACCTTGAACCCCTTTACAGTTCAGGAACGAGATGCGAGCAATTTATATATATATATATATATCTATATATATATCTATATCTATGTGCTATATAAATGTTTTTGTATATAACTTATTTCAGAATTTTCGAATAAGCGCAAGGTTTTCCTAGGATACACAACTCGAAATGTTTATTCCTGCAGAGGGTTGTCCCTTGAGGCGATCTTTATACTCTGCAGTCATTAAAGCCGACATAGGGCATATATATTCTTGATCTTGATCAACAGCCGAGTCGTTATAGCCATGTTCCACTGTCTGTCCCCCCATCTGTTTCTATGCGAGATAGTCTCTCGGTTTTACAGCTTTCGTATTGAATCTTTGCATAGGATCGACAGGACATATGTTACTCGAATGAGATCGGATCGGAGTACTATATCATATAGCTGCCATAGGAAAAAGTAGGTGCTTGCATGGAAAACCTATTTGCTTATCAAGATATCCTGCTTAGAACTGACATCACCTAGCTTAACTATGCTGCCTATATCTGAGCCAAGTCTTAACAAGATCGCATTACTCTATTATATAGGTCTATGAAAAGAACCGGAAATGAGTTTATGTAAGATATGCTCCCCAAACTTCACACTCATGAGCTTCACTCTTCCGTAGGGCAAATGTCTGCAAGGGTATTAAATCTGCTTCGTGCCGAAGATATCTTTTCTAGTTTCTCCTAAAGCTGGAACCTTGGGCTTGTGCCTTGTGCTTGGGTATGTGCACACTTCCTGAAGCCCAGAAAATTTGAGAAAGTTCGAACCATAGATAACAGAGTTCATCGAGGAGTTTCTTCACAATCAGTTTTGTTAGGGAAAGAAAAGTCGCTGAAGGAACTGCGCCTGTTTATGTTTGACCCGACAGCCTGGCTTTGGGTTCGAGTATCTCGTCGTCTCGCCTAGAGAGCGCTTCTGAGCTTTAGCTGAAGCAAAGCCTATCAGTATGTGACCCTTATATCAAATGGCTTCTATCGGAAAAATCGCTGCATCTGCTGCATGTTGAGCATTTTTTTTTAACAAGTATTCTTCCACTTATAAATTTAGGGAGCTCATGCGCATTATTCAGGATTTGTAAGTTTTCAAGCATTTACCTACTTAAAACCTTTAAGCTCAGCAGGAACCAAGTTTTTGGCTTTAAGAGAATCTATTTGGCACACTTAACGGCAACTTGTTCTGCGCGCTGCCTTCACATGGAATATTCCTTCGCTATCTAGATTTTCGGTTTAGACCATTAATTTTGTAATTTTCTTGTTGTGGAGGCGTGTCAATGTTGAAGTTTCATTTCGTTTCCGTTTCCGTTTTCTTTTCACATTTATTCAGATGCTTAATTATAATGTTATTTGAGTGTCAGCAAAGCGCAAAAGTAGAGACGACTCTAGATACCCTGTAAACATGAGGGGTATCGAAAATGTGGATAGAAATCTTATCAGCAAAAGATAGCTTCGAGTGGAGTAGAACTCATTGGAGGAGTTATCATTGAAGAAGATCTCATTGGAGTAGTTATCATTAGAGGAGACCTCATTAGAGGAGAACTCATTGGAGGAGACCTTATTGGAGAATATCCCATTTGAGAGATTTCATTGGAGGAGACCTCATTAGGAAAACTCATTGGGGGAGAGCTCATTAGAGGAGAACTCATTAGCAACCTCATTAGAGTAGACCGCATTAGATGAGAACTCATCGGTGGAGACCTTATTGGAGAATATCCCATTTGAGAGATTTCATTGGAGGAGTTTTCATTGGAGGAGTTTTCATTGGAGGAGACCTCATTAGGAGAACTCATTAGAGGAGAACTCATTAGAGACCTCATTTGAGGAGACCTCATTAGACGAGAACATATTGGAGGAGACCTTATTGGAGAATATCCTATTGTAGAGATCTCATTGGAGGAGTTTTCATTGGAGGAGACCTCATTAGGAGAACTCATTGGAGGAGAACTAATTTGAGGAGAACTGATTAGAGACCTCATTAGAGGAGACCTCGTTAGGGGAGAATTCATTGGACGATTTCTTATTGGAGGAGTTATCATTAGAGGAGACCTCGTTAGAGGAGAGCTCGTTAGAGAAGAACTCATTAGAGGAGACCTCGTTAGAGGAGAACTCATTAGAGAGGACCTTATTGGAGGAGAACTCATTGAAAGAGATATCATTAGAGGAGACCTCGTTAGAGGAGAACTCATTGGTGAAGTTCTCATTGGAGGAGTTATCATTATAGGAGACCTCGTTAGAGGAGACCTCATTAGAGGATTTCTCATTGGAGAAGTTCTCATTAGAAGATACCCCATTGGAACTCGGCCTCTCTGTGGAGTAGAGTCAGCAGAGTTGTTAAGCTTGTCGTATACCCTAAACAGATCAAATTAGCTGGGGTATAGCTCATATTACAGGGTATATTTTCATTGTGTGCGTTCACTCTGTATTTAAATTCCAAAGCTGCATACTTTGAGACGCTGCTGAACTTTAATGCGCCTCTTATTGATCAGCATTTGGCGCCTGTGCGCGGGGGCGGCAGTTGGTGGGCGGGGCAGCTGTGTGTGGAGCTCAGTCGGCAATTTATGGCAATTACCAGCGATTAAAGAGTTGAGCGCGAGGCAAGAAGAAGCAGAACAAAAATAAAAAACAGCATGGAAAATGAAAACTTTGCTGGAGCCGCCGTAGACAGAAATCCAGAACGAAATGGAGCTGAGCGAGAGACAGCTGTAGATTGGGTATCGCCTGGGTGGGTTCTGGGCGGTTGTGGGCGGGGCTGGGGGTACTGGAGGGCAGCTGTTGGCGCGATAAATGTAATCAAATTTAATTTCGACAAATTGCTTTTGAATTACGCGACCTTCGACGTTTGGCGCCGGCGACGCGGCGTCCGAAACACAGTTGGAAAATTGTTGTTAAAATAATAATAACTTGTGTGTGCCAGTGTGTGTGCGAGTGTGTGTGTGCGAGTGTGTGTGTGTGTGTGTGTGTGTGTGTCGGCCGGAGTACAATTGCCACAATAACAACTGCAATTTGCGCTTGAAATGATGAAAACAAAGTGACGACGACGACGACGACGACGACGAACTTTGCCGCACACCACGGCGTATACGTAATAATAAAAATTATGATTCATTCGCAAACGCACAGGCAGAGTGAGGGGACGATAGAGGGGGGGGGGGGGGGGGGGGGGGCAGACAGACAAGGGCAAGGGTTGGATACTGATTGGCCATTTTGGCTTAAATGCAAAAATTAATTTGATTGAACCTCGCGCTGAAAGTTTTCAGTTTTCAGTTTCCAGTTTTTCGTTTTTTGTTTTTCGCCATTTTCCGTTTTCAGTTTTTCATTGCAAAGTTTAAGCAAATAATTATGTTTGTGTGCTGAATTTGGGCTCTAATTATATAGCCGCACAATTTGCATATGGAAATTGAATTGTTTAAAGGACACGCAGGACACGGCCAGGCTTGAAATTATTTCGAGCCAATAAATGTTGAAATGTGCAACTAATAATGAAAATATACAGCTTCACATTTTAAAGCTGACAGTAAAAACCACAGAATTCCACGCATTTTCCGTACTTGTGGGTGAATTTCGACATTTGCTGAAACCAATTCGATGCCATATTCACAATTCTCGCACAGTTCGAGCTCCTATAGATACAATATAGTGCAGCCTTTCATTTGGTATCGAAGCAAACTTGACAAGCCCAAGCTAGAAACAAACCCTGCTTTCCTGAAAACAACATTGCCAAATAATTTTTCGACCTCAATTGGCAGTTTTTCGATGAGTGCGAAAGATAACTTTTCACCCATTTTCCACAATTGCGTGTGGAACATGCCAAAAGCTCATTTTAACATTTATTGAAGTCACAAAAGGTAGAGCTTATACTTGTGGCTGTGCAGTTATAATCAGTCAGACGTCAATCAGGAAGTCAATCTCTCAATCCGTCAGTCAGTCAGATAATCAGTAAGACAATTAGTCTCTCAATCAGTCATTGAATGAGTAAGTTAATCCGTCAATGTGTCTTTCAATCAGTCAGTCTGTCTGTCAATCAGTGAATCAATCAGACAGTTAGTCAGTCAGACAATCAGTTAAGCACTCAGACAATCAGACACTTTACCAGTCAATGAATCAGTTAGTCAATGAGTCAATCAATAAGTCAGTCAGTCAGTAAGTCAATCAATCAGGCAATCAATCAGTCGGTTTGTCAATCTGTTAGTCGATTAGACAGTTTGTCAGTCAGACACTCAGATAAGTGGTCAGTCAATCTGGTTACCAATTAGTCAATTCATCTATGGGTTTATTAGTAGGTCAGTCAGTCAGTATGTCAATCGGTCAATCAGTCAGTCACTCTGTCAGTCAGCCAGTCAATCAATCACCCAACCAGTCACTCAATCAGCCAATCAATAAGTCAGTCAGTAAGTCAATCAGTCAGCCAGGCAGTCAGTCAATCAGTCACTCAATCAATCAGCCTGTTAGAAAGGGCAGCAAATATATATATATACGATTCGTACTTACATACTCTGTTGAACATTTCTTTATTTCATCAATCAGCTCACAGAAGGGCTCTCAGCTCTGAATTCGGCCTGTGGCACATTATCTAAAATAAACAGAGAAAAAAAAAAAGTAGAAGCATTTGCACAGAGTTTAATCAACGAGCCCGTCAAAGAGCTTTGTTAATTGCTTTATTCACATTGCGGCTCTTCTATGCGATTCTCACAGTCTCTAGCTAATCTGCTGCTACATTTGACTGCACTTCATAATTAGCTTTCGGTTTGTAATTCTCCAAACTAAAGCCCAAATACGAAAATATAAAAAAAAAAATAAAAACAATGAGAAGTCTGCTAATTCGCTGGGACAGACCAAATATTGTGTTTGCTGTCATTCTCCCTCTCTCTCTCTCTCTCTCTCCACCTCTCTTTCTCTCTCTCGCACTCGCTCTGCTGTTTTTTGGTGATACCCTGCACCCATTAGGTATGTGTACAAATCGGGTATACCGTGTCACAGGCAGAACATAAGGCATTATATTCTTGATAATCTGGCTACTAGCCCATCGTAA